ACCAAGGGGGCATCAAAAAGCAGTGGAGGGAAAAATTAGATGGCAAGTCTGATGGACCTGGAAGCAGTGTCCACTGAACTGTGAGACTGTCCCCCTTTCAGTCAGGCATTAGCCTGCGGTCACAGGTCTCCTTCAAAACCACTCTGTTCTTGGGCTCCTTGCCAAGCTCCTTGGTCTTCTTGCCAAGCAGGAAGCAGGCAGCAGGCTCTGGGGAGGGCTGGGCTCCTGGCCCCTGGTACTGGGCAGATGGTGCGTGACCCTAACTACCCTGCCTTTCAGGCAGAAGCAAGCTTGCTGAGTTCCTCCAGGGAGGTGCTAGCGGCGGTGATGAATCTGCAGGGATCTACCCTACTCTTTGCACGCACCTCTAGTCAAGCAATTGTTTTGCTTTTTTTTTTTTTTTTTTTTTGGAAAGGAGGGGTTTCAACAAGATTTCCTTTTGAAATGAATTTTAAAACTATTGGGTTTAAAAAATTAAACAGTTTTAAAAAACAAGTTTTTTTTGTTTTTTTTTTTTTTTTTTTTTGAGACAGAGTCTGGCTCTGTCGCCCAGGCTGGAGTGCAGTGGCCAGATCTCAGCTCACTGCAAGCTCCGCCTCCCGGGTTTACGCCATTCTCCTGCCTCAGCCTCCCGAGTAGCTGGGACTACAGGCGCCCGCCACCTCGCCCGGCTAGTTTTTTGTATTTTTTTTAGTAGAGACAGGGTTTCACCGTGTTAGCCAGGATGGTCTCGATCTCCTGACCTGGTGATCCGCCCGTCTCGGCCTCCCAAAGTGCTGGGATTACAGGCTTGAGCCACCGCGCCTGGCCTGTTTTGCTTTTTGTTTTGCTTTTTATTCAGCCGAGGAGCATTCTTTGAGCTCCTACTTTGTGCAGCATAGTGGGATAGAAATGTAGAGACAAAAGACAAAGTCTCTCCGCTGAGGGCTGTATGACGAGTGGGAGGTGCTATGAACTGAATGTTTGTGTCCCTTCCAAATTCATGTGTTGACGCCTAAATCTTCAATGTGCTGATATTAGGAGGTGGAGCCTTTGGGAGGTAATTAGGTTTAGATGTGCTCAGAGCTCCCTCTGATAGGATTAACGCCCTTATGAAAAGAGAAAGACACACCTGAGTTCTCTCTCAAGCTCTCTCTCTCCTCTTTGTGCACACACCAAGGAAAATCCATGCGTCTTAGTCCATTTGCATTGCTATAAAGGAATACCTGAGTCTGGGTCATTTATAAAGAAAGGTGGTTTATGGGGCTCATGGTTCTGCAGGCTGTACAAGAAGCATGGCCCCAGCATCTGCTTCTGGTGAGGGCCTCAGGAAGTTTCCACTCATGGTGGAAGGCAAAGGGGAACAGGCACCACATGGCATCACATGGCAAGAGAGGAATTGGGAAAGAGAGGAGGGAGCTTCCAGGCTGTTTAACACCAGTTCTTATGGGGACTAATACAGTGAGAACTCACTAAGAAGGAGGAGAGGATGGTACCAAGACATTCATGTGGGATCTGCCCCCGTGACCAAACACCTCCCACTAGGCCCCACCTCCAACACTGGGGATCAAATTTCAACATGAGATTTGATGTGGCCAAAAATACTATATCTAAACCGTGGCACCATGTGAGGACTTAACCCGGAAGAGGGCCCTCACCCAGAACCAACTGTGCTGGCATGCGGATCTCGGACTTCCAGCCTCCAGAACTCTGAGAAATCCATGTTGGTGGTTGAAGCCCCAGGTCTGTGTGTTCTGTTACTGCAGGCTGAGCTGACCAAGAGAGGAGGGGCCAGCCACAGCCCCAGGGGGCCCATGCTTTGGGTGGGTGTCTTGGGGAGGGGTTGCTATTCTTTCCCTGTCCCTGATAAACTTCAACTTGAAAACCCCTGTCATTAAAGATACCCCCCAGGGTCTGTGAATGATGCTGACCCCTCAGCCTCCTTTTGAGGGTGAGTATCTTGGGATGGGTCGAGTTGTCCTGGGCCCTGCACCCCACTAAGGATGTGGCAAAATTAAGGCTGTCAGGGCAGAAATAATTTGATAAAGGTTCACTGGAAACCAAGTGTGAGGCTCGACGGGGGAAGACACACCAACAAAGCTGGGCGTGTTCCAGAGCCTGTCACAGGTTGGAAGGCTTAGCTAGAAAGTGTAGGAGAAGGGAGAGCTCCTTTTCCATTGGTGGCTGCAACACAGAGGTTACATTCATTGGCTACAGATGACAACACACAGGCTAACATTCCATGTGCAAGATGATCAGTAAAACTTTGTGACTCAGAAACAAATGTGTCATTTTTATTTTGAGACACAGTCTCACTCTGTCACCTAGGCTGGAGCACAGTGTCATAATCATAGCTCATTGTAACCTCGACCTCCTGGACTCAAGCTGTCCTCCTGCCCCAGCCTCCCGAGTAGCTGGGACTACAAGCACAGACCACTGTGTCCAGCTAACTGTTTAAAATTTTTTACAGAGACAAGGTGAGGATGAGGGAGGAAAGCGGGGCCGGGGGGTGCAGCAGGGAGGTCTCTCTATGTTGCCCAGTCTGGTCTTGAACTCTTGGCCTCAAGCATTCTCCTGCCTCTGCCTCTGAATAGCTCGAATTACAGGCATGAGCCACGCCACCTGGCTTCAGTGTCCTTTTTGATGTCAGTAGGTTATATATTAATCAGTATGTCAACACTTTGAGGAACTCATAGTAGGATTTGAGGGCCTCAGGGTAAGAGCCTTTTCTCAGAGACAGGATGTAAGCCATGAATCACGAGGCCTTCCCCAGGCGGTTAATCCGGAAGCCTGCCAAATGTGACCTGTAGGTTATCAGATGGGTGTCAAACCTGTGCTCTCCAGGACTAGCCACTGGCTAATCACACATGGCAGTTGACACTTACCCTACATAATACAAAAAGTGCAGCTCCTCAGTCACTAGCTACTTCAAGTGCTCAGTACCCACAGGCAGCGAGTGGCTACCACCGGGGACAGAGTAGACCTGGGACGTTTCTGCCATCACTGTACATTCTATGGGATGTTTCACTGCCTAGGTCCTGGCAACAGATGGTGGTACACTGTGGGCCAGCTACGGAGGGGACAGCCTAAACCCACTGAGGTGGGGCTGGGGGTGGTGAGGCTCATGGTGTAGGGAAAAGCTTCTCCAAGGAGCTGCACCTCCGCCGATCCTCAGCCTGAGGCTCCTGCTCTCTCTGAGCAGACAGAGCCCAGACCTTGACCTCCCGTTGTGTGCCGGTGCTCCTCGGGACCGGGCCCCCTTCCTTGTCTTTCCACCTACCCCCTGTGTCTTTTCGTGGGCTTCCTTTGCCATCTTCTCCATAGGTTTTCAGCAGAGGCTGCACTTGCACAGTCCAGGGGGATCTCAAACTGCATCAGAGGCCCCTGGAGGGCTTGGTAAAGCACAGACTCCAGGGCTTCACCCACCGCCTGTGATCAGCAGATCTGGGGTACAGCCAGAGACGGTGCATTTCAACAAATCGCCCAGTGATGCTGATGTTGCTGGTCTGGAACCACACTTTGACAACCGTTGGTGTGGTCTAAAGAATCCCATTCACTGATTCATGCATTCAACAAATATTTATTTAATGCTACCATGGGCCGGGTGCTCTTCCAGTGCCGGGATAAGCTGTGAGCCACCCAGAAAAGCCCTTGTCCTTCATTCTAGGACTTGGAGATGGACAGCAAACAAGTTTTCTAGGTTGGGTGGTGACAACTGTTAGGAGGAAGAATTATCCAGGGGAAGGCCAGAGGGCTATTGCACAAGGTCGTGGGGAAAGTCCTCACTGACATGGTGACATCTGAGCAGAGACCCAGGAGGGGACTTGTGGGAGAAGGAGACCCTGGACCCTCTGACTGCTTTGTTCTGTCCTCAGCTTTTTAACGTGGAAAATGAGAGTCATGTTGAAAATCAAGGTCACAGTCTGGACGGGCGTAATGGCTCACACCTGTAATCCCAACACTTTGGGAGGCCAAGGTGGGAGGATCACTTGAGACCAGGAGTTTGAGACCAGCCTGGGCAACACAGCCTCCGAGACACCGTCTCTACTCAAACAAGCAAAAATTAGCTGGGCACTAATTGTGTTGCATGCCTGTAGTCCCAGCTACTCAGGAGGCTGATTCGGGAGGATCACTTGAACCTGAGAGGTTGAGGCTGCAGTGAGTCATGATTAAGCCACTGCACTCTAGCCTGGGCAACAGAGTGAGATCCTGTCTCAAAAAAAAAAAAAAAAAAAAAAAAAAATCAAGGTCATGTCTACTCAATAGCTAAGTTTTAAAGACAAATTCAAGTGTGTGTACATGGTTTGTTACAAAGAAGCCTGGTGCCAAAAGCCATAGATTTGAGCTCAGCTTGCAGTTTCACTCTTGGGCCACAGCAACTGATCCTCGTGCTTCAGAAACCTCTGCTGGCCACACCCCTCTCGGCAAGGTTAGGAGTCCCCAGGGCTAAGGGCACCAGGATAGGAGCCTGTGTGCCCCTTTACAAGATGCCATAGGATTACCAGTCCATACACCTAGTCCAGTTCCAGGACCCACAGCCCCCTTCCTGTCTATCCCTCAGGGCAGACCAGGCCCCAGGGTTTGCACCCCAGGCCAGGAGATGACTGTGTAGGGATGGGGTGGACGGAACTTGACCTGGGGTCTGGAATGTCCATACAACCGTGTACTGATGATGGATAGAGGGGGCCAGGCCAAGCCAAGGGCTCTATTTATCTTCTTGTCTTGCGCTCTGCAAACATCAGGGGCAGACCTGTTTGCTTCAACCCATTAGTTGAGTGCTCCTTACCTCTATCCAGCTTTGGGGATGAGAAAGGAGAGTGTAGGCCAATCTACCACTGCTGGAAAAATAAACAAATGTCATAGAGATCATGGGTCAGTGGTGGTCCCTGCATCAATGAGAACAGCAGATGCGTGGGATCAGCCCTATCCCCTCTTAAAAACATAAGCTTTTATGATGAAGTGCAAATTTTCTGTGCCTTTCACACCTACTTTTTCTTTTTAATGTGTGATATCTTTTTCAGGCACAACTATCTCAGGCCTTAAATGGAGTTTCGGATAAGGCAAAGGAAGCAAAGGAGTTTCTGGTTCAGCTGAAGAACATACTGCAGCAGATCCAGGTGAGCACAGCTCTGGCGTCAGGAGAAATACTCGGTGTGGAAAGTTTACACATTGTGCATTGTAATAGGAAGAAAGGGGCCGGGCGCAGTGATTCATGCCTGTAATCCCAGCACTTTGGGAGGCCGAGGCGGGTGGATCACCTGAGGTAGGGAGTTTGAGACCAGCCTGACCAACACGGAGAACCCCGTCTTTACCAAAAATACAAAAATTAGCTGGGCACGGTGGCGGGTGTCTGTAATCCCAGCTACTCTGGAGTCTGAGGCAGGAGAATCGCTTGAACCCGGGAGGCGGAGGTTGCGATGAGCCGAGATCGTGCCATTGCACTCCAGCTTGGACAACAAGAGCGAAAGTCTGTCTCAAAGAAAAAAAAAAAGAAGAAGAAGAAGAAGAAAGGAAAAGTCTTATGGCGAGGATTTTCTCAGTGATGGACATTAGAAGGTTAATGTGTCCTACCCTCTAGGCTTGGGTGTTGAAAGTATCACATACTCAACTCATTGGCACACACGCGACACTTGATACAGGAAAGGACTTTTACACAGAGCCAGTTAGAGAGAGCTGGAAAGACGTGATTTAGCACTCTACATGCCATGTTGTCCTAGGTGGCATCTGTATATGGTGCTTTTGTGGCCAAATATGCCCACGTCATCAATGCATCAAAATATAAATGCATCGTTTTCTAAACAAATGTGTTTACTGAACTCTTATGCTGTGTCAGGTACTGAGCCCAGCACAGGATACAAAGATCATTGAGGCACCATCTGTGGCCTCAGGGTCTGTCTATAGGGCAGAACGTGCACACACAAGTGCTCCTGTGTGAATGTACACACATAGAGGAGCCGCTCATAAGATGAGAAACCCATAAAGCATTGACATATCTGGAGGAAGAAAAGGGACTGAGGGTCCTTGAATTCTTGTTTTTTGTTTGTTTGTTTGTTTGTTTTTGAGACAGAGTCTCACTCTGTCACCCAGGCTGGAGTGCAGTGGCGTGATCTCGGCTCACTGCAACCTCCGCCTTCCGGGTTCAAGCAATTCTCCTGCCTCAGCCTCTTGAGTAGCTGGGATTGCAGGCACCTGCCACCATGCCCAGCTAATTTTTTGTATTTTTTAGTAGAGACGGGATTTCACCATATTGGCCAGGCTGGTCTCGAACTCCTGACCTCATGATCCACCCGCCTCACCTTCCCAAAATGCTGGGATTACAGGCATGAGCCACTGTGCCTGGCCCCTTAAATTCTTAAAAACCACCCTTCCTAACAAGTTAAGTACAGACTTCAGCCACGGGGCATTTTAAGTCATAATGTTTCCCATGTTTCACAGACATGAGATATATTCGCCTGCTGGGGCTGCCATCGCAAAACACCAGAGATTGAGTGCCTTAAGCAGCAGAAATCTATTTTCTCATAGCTCTGGAGGCTGGAGGTCTGAGATAAAGCGTCAGCAGGGTTAGTTTCTCTTGAGGCCTCTCCCCTTGGCCTGTGGATGGCCGTCTTCTCCCTGTGTCCCCACATGGTCTGACCTCTGTGCGTCTGTATCCTCATCTCTTCTTATAAGGACACCAGTTATATTGGACCAGGGTCCACCCATACAACCTCATTTTACTTAATGACCTCTTTAAAGGCCTTATCTCCAAATACAGTCACATTCAGGGGCACTGGGGAGGGTTAGGGCTTCAATGTATGAACTTGGGAAGACAAAATTCAGCTCATCACATGAGGTCTGGATCCACACTGAGACCCAGAAGGAGATTTTTAAAAACTGAGAAACACTTTACTGCAAGAGCATTATTATTATTATTATTTTGTCTGTCTTTTTTCCAATTATACAAAGCACAGTGGCTCACGCCTGTGATCCCAGCACTATGGGAGGCCGAGGCGGGCGGATCACAAGGTCAGGAGATGGAGACCATCCTGGCTAACACAGTGAAACTCCGTCTCTACTAAAAATACAAAAAATTAGCTGGACGTTGTGGTGGTTGCCTGTAGTCCCAGCTATTGGGGAGGCTGAGGCAGGAGAATGGCGTGAACCTGGGAGGCGGAGCTTGCAGTGAGCCGAGATCACGCCACTGAACTCTAGCCTGGGCAACAAAACAAGACTCCGTCTCAAAAAAAAAAAAAAAAAAAAAAAAAAAAAAAAAAAAGGGGTAAAAGAAACTTTGGAAGGTAGGGGGAAATAGACAGACAGATAAGAAAAAGTTCACCAATATCCCCCCATCTGAGGTGACCACTCTCAGCGCTTTGATACATATTGTTCTATTACTTTAAACACACACACACACACACACAATGTATGGGATTATGCTGTGAACAGCATGTATCCTGCCTTTTTTCCTTCTTAGCAGTCTCTAATGAGCATTTTCCCATGGCATTAAAAATGCCCTATGAACAAGATCTGAATGACTATAGAATGTTCTGCCATATGGCTGTGCTGAGATTCATAGTACCTGCCTTAATTCATATAAATATTGTCTCTAATTTAACAACATTATAGAGAACTCTAGGATGAACTTCTCTGAAATATATTTTTGTCTATAGCATTCACCAGATTTTAGCATCTTCTCCCCTAAAATTCTCTGCTTCTTCCCAACCAACCCCTGACCTCTGCCAGGAAAATGGACTGGACTACGAAGCCTGCCTGGTTGCTCAGTGTGATGCCCTTGTGGATGCTTTAACTCGTCAGAAAGCCAAGCTGCTCACCAAGGTGACAAAGGAGAGGGAACACAAGTTGAAGGTAGGTACCTGAGAGACTGACACATTGAATCCCTGCCACATCCTCTGCACCTAGCGTGGGGTGGAGCACACAGTAGGCACTGGGTAAATATTGGCTAAGTGAGTGAATGAATGACCTAATGAATGAATGAGACAAAGAAGGGATGCACCAGCTGGTTCAGTTACATTCATGTGACCTGACAGAGACCAATCAATATACCTTGTATCTTGAGGATTTCAAGTCAGAAGCCCACCTTCTCCCTCCCTGTTTCTATCTAAGGGACTATTCTTGTTCTCATTTTGCAGAGCAGAAGTGACCAATGACAGTGACTAGCGCTGACCCTGTTCAGGTCTCCAGCTCTGTCCCCTTCTTCAGGTCCTCTCTGATAGCTCATGTCCTCAACAGTCAGCAATAACATACACAGCCAGTTACCACCAAGGGAAGACGAGACTCTCCCCTCACATCACGCTGAGTCCCTGACTCAACCAGCCACCCATGAACTCTCTGAGTTGATGACGGGCTGTCACTGTTTGAGGAGCTCCATCTGTGCTAGAGACATTTCATAACTGGACCAGAAAATACTACTGTCAAGAAAAGCAGAAATGCATGCTGGAGATGATCCCATGGTTCATAAGTGAGGGGCTAAGACCATCGCGTTATCCAGGGCCACGGAGAGGTCAGAAGCCAGTCAAGAAGCTGGTCACTGATTGTATGGAGAGTTCCAGATTATGCTGTTTCTCTGCATGACTGTCATGAGTTTAGAAAGGTTTCTGTGTTGGGTGTTGTAGCCCTGCTTCTTGGGAAGTGAGTCCACTTATTTCCCAGCAAAGAGCTCAGCAGTAGAGCCGAGACAGGAGTGGGTGCGAGGTGGTCAGGCCAGCGCCGCTTCTACCAGGCTGTATTGGCGCTAGTTCTCTGACTCTTGCCGTGGCCTGCCTGCTCTTCCTCTCAGGAGACAGTTACTTAGAGGAGTCTTTCCATTGCAGATGGTTTGGGACCAGATCAATCACTGCACACTGAAGCTGCGTCAGTCCACCGGACTGATGGAGTACTGCCTGGAGGTGATCAAGGAGAACGACCCCTCGGGGTTCTTACAGGTGAGCCTGTCCCTGGAAGACACCAGATGGTCTTCCTCCAACTGCCCTACTGTTCCCCAAACCAGTCCAAATTCCAATCAAGATCCTTTCCTGGCTTGGATTGAGCAGATTCTCCTTTGCTCAGTGATCCCAGAAGACCTAGGGTCTCACCTTGGCTCTGACTCTCACTAGATGTGACCTAATTTTGCAGCATGCATGAAACGAGGAGGTGAAATGACATCATCTCTAGGGCTGAAATGCCTCACTGCAACATTTTCCCCACAAACGGGAAAGGACAGTCTTGCCAAACAAGCTGGACAGATTGCACCGGAAGAAGCAAGTTAGCAGAATCCACATGGCCCATTATCTCAATGTGCAGAGTCCTGCAGGCATGGCTGGTGACCAGCTGCCTACAGAGACAGTGCAGTCTTCTCGGGGCCATCTCTCCTGCATTCAGGCTGACTCAGGGTCATGAGTATCTCCCAGGAACATGGCAGTGATTCAGCCTCTGTCAGTGGGAAAAATGATGAATCCCTTTGATTGTTTCCCAAGAAAGATACACAAGATCCTGGCTCGACAGGAACACGTGCAAATGTCTGATAAGCAGGACTTTCCAGCAAAGGGGAGCAGAACCATGGGTGTGATGCAGTCAAGTTTGGAGTAGAAGTTGCAGAACTCAGAGGAAACACACGGGCAGGGAGCAGATGTGGGCTTAGAAATTTTAGGGGTGTGGAATATGCTTTCTTTAGACACTGGGGCAAACTGCTAGTATGTTTCACTTTGCAAAGTACTAGATCTAGGAAAACAGATCTAATGAAGGATGCATTTGTATATTTAAAAAGCATCTTGTATTTCTCAACAGTGTTTGCTACACTCTCTTTAAGCAGCGAGTGCTTCTTTTCATTTCATGTGATTCTGAAATATGATTGAAACAATATTTCAATGCATTTTTAGACAGCCTGTGCTGGGTGGGCAGGGGTCATTTAATCTCTGCCATGGCTCGAGAGCACAACCCTTTTCTGTCTCTGAGTCCCATAGAGACAAAGCCCCTACCTCTTCCTCACCCCTGGCTGCACAATTTTTCCTTTGCAAAGCAAAACCTTAAACTCTTTGCTCTCCTTTAAGATCTCAGATGCTCTGATCAAACGCGTCCAGGTGTCTCAGGAGCAGTGGGTCAAAGGCGCCCTGGAGCCAAAAGTGTCTGCGGAGTTTGATCTGACCTTGGACAGCGAGCCACTGCTGCAGGCCATCCACCAGCTGGACTTCATTCAGATGAAATGTAGGGGTGAGCCGCGGTTGGCCCCAGTTCAGTTAGTGCTTCTTTCAAAAGAGGCATGCAGTCTGAGAGGCAGCTCGGTGCCATAGGGGGACCTGTGATGCACAGAGTGTGGCAGGGTGGGAGAGTCGGAACACCAGAGTCACGGACCTAGGTTCAAGTCCCAGCTCAGCCCCTGACAGCCATGTGAGCTGGAGTGAGAAGCACCCCGTCAGAATCTGAGGCTTCCCATTTGTGAAAAAAACAATCATTTGTTCAACAACAATCATTTGTTCATTCAGAAGTGCTTGGGGAGTGTCTACCATGTGCCAGGCACCATTCCACATGCTCAAGATGCAGTGGTGAACAAGTCTACCAACTCACAAGATTGGGCTTACACTCTCGAGCAGGAAATAGACACCAAACAAATGTATAATAGAATGTTGGATGCTGGCAGGTGCTATGAAGAGGAATCAGAGGAAGGGGCAGCAGTAGATGCCATGGGGTGAGATTTGGGGTTAGGAGGAGGAAGTGGTGGAAAAGGAGGAAGAGGTAGTGGAGGAGGTAATGGAGGAGGAGGAGGTAGTGGAGGAGGAGGAGGAGGTGGAAGATGAGGAGGTGGTGGCTGAGATAGTGGAGGAGGAGGTGGAGGAGGTAGTGGAGGAGGAGGAAGAAGAGGTAGCGGAGGAGAAGGAGGAGGTAGCAGAGGAGGAGGGGGAGGAGGAGGTGGAAGAGGAGGAGGTGGTGGCTGAGATAGTGGAGAAGGAGGAGGTGGTGGAGGCGGAGGAGAAGGTAGAAGAGGAGGAGATGGTGGCTGAGATAGTGGAGGAGGAGGAAATAGTGGAGGAGGAGGAGGTGGAGGAGAAGGAGGGAGAAGAATCTAAGCAATGAGTTTTGCAGGCAGCAGAGGGATAGCAAGTCCAAAGTCCCTGAGGCAAGAATCAGTTTTCTCTGTCCCAAGAGCAAGAAGGTCAGAGATGATAGCAGAATGAGCAAGGTGAGTTCAGAGACCCTAGGGGGTTAAGTAAAGTTTGCATAACTTACCCCATTATGAAATCAGCAAATGCTGGCCAGAACCAGAGCCCTACTCTGCATGCTGCCCCTCCACAGATGTCAAGGGAGGGGAAATAAAGCTCTTTGGTGTTTGTGGACTGAGGACCACACATGCAGAATCTGTGAACTCAGGAAGTCCTTACCTGCAAAATCCGTGGCCATTTTAAACTAAAGAAAAGGAAGTCTCACATTGCCATGCTCACTCCCACACAGCTTGCACCTCCAGTAAGGTCTGGAAAGGCCACTTGCCCCAGGTGTAAATGACACACAGTGCTGAGAAGCAGGAGGAGCCTGGCAGAGTGGAGGAGCTGCAGTGAAAGAGCTCCCCTTGGAAAGTGGAGGTGTGGAGGGGGGGCTTGGGGCCACTCCAGATGCTGCTCCTAGCTGGATGGGGTCACTGGACTGGACGGGGTCACTGGACTGGATGAACTGGATGGGGTCACTGGCTGGTCAGGGTTCAGAGAGGAAGTGGGAGAGCAGTGTAGCAGGGCCCAGGGGATGAAGCAAGGACTCCTACCAGCTCGTTAACTGAGGCTGAGAGTCAGGCTGTGCTCAGCCAGTCGCGTGCCGAATTCTTGGAACCACATTGAAATACGTACTTTTAACAAAAACGGTGTTTCAATTTTCCCTTTAAAAAAAAAAAAGAAAGGTCAAAGTGAACTCTATTGATTTATAAAATCTCTTGAGCCTGACTAGAGCTAGAAAAATTTTAAACTTCTCCCACTTGGTCAGGCGCGGTGGCTCACACCTGTAATCCCAACACTTTGGGAGGCCGAGGCGGGCGTTTCACGAGGTCAGGAGATGGAGACCTTCCTGGCTAACACGGTGAAACCCCATGTCTACTAAAATACAAAAAAAAAAAAAAAATTAACTGGGCATGGGGGGGGGGGCCTGTAGTTCCAGCTACTCGGGAGGCTGAGGCAGGAGAATGGCGTGAACCCGGGAGGCAGAGCTTGCAGTGAGCCGAGATCGCACCACTGCACTCCAGCCTGGGCGACATCTCAAAAAAAAACTCCATCTCAAAAAAAAAAAAAAAAAAAAAGCTTCTCCCACTCTCACCTTAATAGGACTTCTGATACAACTGATTCAAATCCTTAGTTCTTTAGGTTGACTGTCCAATACTCGAGACTTGCTTCTGTTGCCTGGATCTCGTCCCCTGATCTTTTAAATGCTTCCAGCCAAAGGTTTAAAGGCATCTCCCCTCACCTTCCCAGTTCCAGGCATGAGCTGCTGGCTGGCTGCCACTTAGCTGTGGGCCCTGCAGAGAGGATCCCTAGGGGCTTGTGCCACGCACAGGAGCGCAGGGAACCTGGACTCTGTTGGAACTATTCATGCGTTTCTCATGAGTCTGAGTCGAAACCAGTGGTTCTCAGTGGGCAGATGGGAAAGAGGACATCCTTCCATAGGGCCATAGGCTCAGAGGGGTGGGGCCGTCTGCCACGGGCCCCCTGAGATTCCAGGAAGGACAACCCCTAGGTTTGAGAAGCGCAAGGTCACCTGTGCTTGCCTTCATCCCCAGCCCACCTGGAGACCGACTCCTGGGCATCTGGGAGTGACTACAGGGTGGCCAGGGAAGGAATTTAGCCTGGCTGTCCTCTGGGGGCCAGGACCCCTGGGATGGAGTGGGGTGGGGGACCGGGCTGGGGCCCTCGGAGGGCTTCATGCGCTAACTCGTGCATGTCCCTCTCACAGTGCCACCTGTCCCCCTACTGCAGCTGGAGAAATGCTGCACCCGCAACAACAGTGTCACGCTGGCCTGGAGGATGCCACCCTTCACCCACAGCCCTGTGGATGGCTACATCCTGGAGCTGGACGACGGCGCTGGGGGACAGTTCCGGGTGAGGACTTGCTGCTTATTTGGCGGGGATTGAGGGTACTGATGCAGAGCCCAGAGTGGCTCCCACTGCCCCAAGCTCTGGTTCAGCCCATGGGGACATTGTGTTGCCATCCTGAGGGGACACTGACCAAAAGGATGAAGAGGGCTGGCCAGCCTGGGCTCAGGGAGATGGGGCTTCCCTCCCAAGGGCTAGGTCTGGGAGGACTGACACAAGCATGGGGCTGGAGAACTCAGAGAAGGTGTTCCCTGCACCCACCTCCTTTCCCGTTTACCCCCAGCCCCTCACACAGCAACATATTCCCTCAATGGGTTTTATCACACCTTGTCCTGTCTGATCCTCTAATTATTTCACCCGGCTCTGTCTTGACTTGGGAGGTATCATTTCTGGAGACAAGGAAGCACTGTCTAACCCTCCTATACCTGGCAAGGTGCTGGGCACGTAGAGGATGCTGGATAAATGGTTGTCGAATTGGGACAACATTCTAGTCATGTCGCTACTGATAGACTGTCATGGGGACAATAAAGGTTCTTAGTGAGCCAGAAATGCATCTTCTACTCCCATCTGCTAGAAACCCTGGAGCAGGACTCCACCCCAATCCAGCCCTAATAGAGCACCACCCAATCCAGCCCTAATAGAGCACCACCCAATCCAGCCCTAATAGAGCACCACCCAATCCAGCCCTAATACAGAACCACCCAATCCAGCCCTAATACAGCACCACCCCAATCTAGCCCTAATACAGCACCACCCCAATCCAGCCCTAATACAGCACCACCCAATCCAGCAGCACCACCCAATCCAGCCCTAATACAGCACCACCCCAATCCAGCCCTAATACAGCACCACCCAACCCAGCCCTAATAGAGCACCACCCAACCCAGCCCTAAGAGAGTACCACCCAATCCAGCCCTAATACAGCACCACCCCAATCCAGCCCTAATACAGCACCACCCAATCCAGCCCTAATAGAGCACCACCCAACCCAGCCCTAATACAGCACCACCCAACCCAGCCCTAATACAGCAGCACCCAATCCAGCCCTAATAGAGCACCACCTCGAGATTTCACTCCGTGACGTTCAGGCGGACGTGAATGCCAGGGAGCACAAACTCTGGGCTTCTCAGATCACCTGGTTCCTGGCCCTGAAATGATTAAATAAACACTCATTCTAACAAACTACTGCAATCATAACAACCCTTGCATCTCTTCTCCTGGGAAGTTGCACCCATTTAACAAACCTTGCTGAAGGTCAACATTCCCTTAGTTTCTCTCAAAGAGATGTACGTATGTGTCATTTTACTTTGTGTTTGAAAAATACAGGAATGTAAGAATTAGGGAAATAGTTGCAGCACTTCCTTGGGAATTACTGAGTTCCATGTGAATATGGGCCAATTAGGGAGGCAAGATGAGGTAGCTCGAGCCAGGTCACTGAGTGCGGACCCCAGTCACTCCTGTTGTGCAAATGAGCCAAGAACTGAAAGAGCTCATCCACCAGAAACCAAGAGGAGAGTCAGTGTTTTTGAAATGGGAAGAAAGAAAAGGCTGTTTGGGAATATTAAAAGCAGCAGCCACAGAGCTCAAAAGTGGTCCCTCTTTGAGACATGGCCACTAACAAAAGTTAGACCCAAGGGCTAGGGTTTATAAGGAAGAGGGTCTTATAGTGGGAAAAGTGTGGATGTTGCATGCAGACAGACTTGGATTTGAGCTATGGCTCCTATATGGATTTGAGTTATGGCTCCTATATGGATTAGCTGTGATCTTAGACCACATTATTTAATTAGCAGAAAATAATGACATGGGAGAGGCAAAAGGCTATGCATTTTGGGGGTTGAATAGGACAAAGGTAACTTTGAAGCGAATGAGGAACAAGGTCAATCTTTAGAAAAGTATCTTTGGGGGCCAGGCACGGTGGTTCACACCTGTAATCCTGGCACTTTGGGAGGCCAAGGCGAGTGGATCACTTGAGGTCAGGAGTTTGAGACCAGCCTGGTCAACATGGTGAAACCCCATCCCTACTTAAAATACAAAAATTAGCCGGGCGTGGTGGCAGATGCCTGTTGTCCCAACTACTCTGGAGGCTGAGGCACAAGAATCACTTGAACTTGGAAGGCAGAGATTGTAGTAAGTCAAGATCGCACCACTGCACTGCAGCCCAGGTGACAGAGTGAGACTCTGTCTCAAAAAAAAAAAAAAAAAAAAGAAAGAAAAGTATCTTTGGGGCCTGATGCAGAAATGTCTCACCCTTTGGAAAGACCAGGAAAACAGCAGCTCCAGGAGGGCTAAGGAGTGGAAAATGCCAGCCTCGGGTGGGAGGAGACAAAGGAGTGGATGTGCCCTGTGGCTCAATAGTCTTGTAGACCAGGTTGACCTTGGCAGAGTCAGGATGTTCCTGGTCAGTATCCTGGCTGGCTGCAGACTTGAGAAGTCGCCTCACCAGGACTCCATCACACCTCACGACCTCACAGGCAGAGGGGCCAGGCAGCCAGTAGTAAGGCATTCATGCCCAAGTTGGTCAAGTTCTGTGAGCCAGCCATGACTGAACGCAATTTCCCTTTTTATTAACTTCTATTTGGGTAAGAATTTGTTTTTAAATTTTTTGGCTGGGCGTGGTGGCTCACATCTGTAATCCCAGCACTCTGGGAGGCCAAGCAGGAGGATCACCTGAGGTCAGGAGTTCGAGACCAGTCTGGCCAACATATAGGGAAACCCCATCTCTACTAAAAAACATATACATAAAAATTAGCTGGGCATGGTGGTGCATGCTTGTAGTCCCAGCTACTTGGGAGGCTGAGGCAGGAGAATCACTTGAACTTGGGAGGCAGAGGTTGCGGTAAGCCGAGATCACGCCACTCCACTCCAGCCTGGCAACAGAGCAAGACTCTGTCCCTCAAAAAAATAAAAACAAAAGTTGTTTAGAAATGAGGTCCTGGGAGGCCGAGACGGGCGGATCACAAGGTCAGGAGATCGAGACCATCCTGGCTAACACGGTGAAACCCCGTCTCTACTAAAAAATCCAAAAAATTAGCCAGGCGAGGTGGCGGGCGCCTGTAGTCCCAGCTACTCGGGAGGCTGAGGCAGGAGAATGGCGGGAACCTGGGAGGCAGAGCTTGCAGTGAGCAGATCCGGCCACTGCACTCCAGCCTGGGCGACAGAGCAAGACTCCATCTCAAAAAAAAAAAAAAAGAAATGGGGTCCTGCAATGTTGCCCAGTCTGGACTCAAGCAATGCTCCCACCTCTGCCTCCTGAGTAGCTGGGACTACAGGCCACCACGCCTGGCAAAAGCACTTTTAACGTCAGTGTGTTTCCAGAAGCCATTTGCTGAGAGGAATTTTCCAAATGCTAGAGGAGCCTGGTGAGCAGCATTGCTCTCTTTCAGGAAGTGTACGTCGGTAAGGAGACTTTGTGTACCATCGACGGTCTTCACTTCAACAGCACCTACAACGCCCGAGTCAAAGCTTTCAACTCTTCTGGTGTCGGGCCTTACAGTAAAACTGTCGTCCTGCAGACGTCCGATGGTGAGCATCGGGATCTCTTAGTGGGAAGAACAGATTCATCATTTTGTCCAATGACAAGCAGACAGCCACTTGCAGCAGCTATGATGACGGAGTGGGGGTGGGGGTGGTGCTAGGCACACCTGCGTTCTCCAAGGTCGCGCCCTTCTGGGACCATAGGTGGCCTCCCAAAGGACAAAGATTGACTCCTAGGGCCAACCCACATTTCATCCCGTGGACCAGGGCAAAGGATGAGGCGCTGAAGATGGTGGAGGGAAGAAGTGCAGGGCCAGAGGGGCCTGTGGAGGTGCATATGCCTCACCCTGCTCTGCACACACAGCTCCTTGCTGCACCCACGTGGCCTACAAGCCACGAAAGAAACATTCCTTTACCCCATTGTGCTGGACTAAATGCGAAGTAGCTGAGGGAGGCTAAACTTCTCCCACTTTTCAAGGGCCGAGGAGTGAGTAGGACAGTCCCAGACAAGAAAACACCACGATAGATATAGTGGGCCCACACCAGTCCCTACATTTGAGCCTTTCTCACAGCGGAAGAGGGCTCTTTAACTCCCAGCATTGGAGCTCACATGCAGTGGTTTATACACCTACCCAGCCTTCTAGGTCTTGGGCAACAACAGCATGTTGAAATTAATTCAGTGGGATTTTGATCATCTGAGTTCTTAGCAGGGAGCGATGAGAGAAATAGAAATCACATTCCAAAGAGAGTCCTGCCCCACCCGGCGTGGCCCAGCCCAGGCTGCAGAGGCGGTTTCCAGCTCCCCACTGCCTCTGAGAAGAGGGCAAATCCTGTATTCGTTTTCATCATTGAGTCTACACGTCCTCTGACTGCCACCGCTGGATGGTCTCCTAGAGGCAGGGAGGAGAAGAGCAGGAGCAGATGCTGGTGTCAAAAGACCCAGCCAGGGACACTTTTCTGAAAATGGTGCCACCTGCAGAGTCCACTTCGTCCACCCCTAGAGGAGAGCTCGTTCGCTTCTGTCTCTAGACTCTCCTGCCTAGACACGAGCGGTCCTTGCCCTGTGCACTGTGGTCATGACTTCAGAGTAAGGGCCTCACTTCCAACAAACTGGGGGGTTGGGGAGCAAAAGGGGGCAGCGGCTGATGGGCTGCAAAATGGACAACTGAGCTTTGTGACTTTGGCCCATCACTTCACCTCTCTGTGTCTCAAATCTCCCACCCACGAGGTGGCTCATCAATATCTATTTCCTCCTGCACTTCTTTTTTTTTTTTTTTTTGAGAAGAAGTCCCACTCTGTTGCCCAGGTCACAGTGCAATGGCACAATCTTGGCTCACTGCAACCTCTGCCACCCTGTTCAAGTGATTGTCCTGCCTCAGCCTCCTGAGTAGCTGGGACTACAGGTGCCCCCCACCATGCCCAGCGAATTTTTTTTTTTTTTTTTTTTTTGAGATGGAGCCTCGCTTTGTCACCCAGGCTGGAGGGCAGTGGTGCTACCTCGGCTCACTGCAAGCTCCGCCTCCCGGGTTCACACCATTCTCCTGCCTCAGCCTCCCGAGTAGCTGGGACTATAGGCGCCTACCACCACGCCCGACTGATTTTTTTGTATTTTTAGTAGAGGCGGGGTTTCACCATGTTAGCCATGATGGTCTCGATCTCCTGACCTCGTGATCTGCCCGCCTCGGCCTCCCAAAGTGCTGGGATTACAGGCGTGAGCCACCATGCCCGGCCATGAATTTTTGTATTTTTAGTAGGGATGGGGTTTTGCCATGTTGGCCAGGCTGGTCTCAAACTCCTGACCTGAAGTGCTCCACCCACCTCGGCCTCCCAAAGTGCTGGGATTACAGGTGTGGGCCACCGCACCCCGCCTATTTCCTCCTGAACTTACAACGTGTCTGAGCGTTTGGAAGGATTTTAGAAACCAAGACCGGGAAATGCATCTAGATTTGAGGCTTAGAGGCCTGAAAATCCTTGGCAAGGCCAGGCTCGTAGGTCTAGCAACTTGGATGAACACAGAGCAGGGTGTGTGTGTGAGCGTGTGCATGTGTGTATGTGTGCGTGTGTGTGTGCATGTGTGCGGTAATCATACAGGAAAGAACCTTCACTCCTGGGTGCCGACCTTCTAACAGAAGCGAGTGTGTTTGTGTCTGTGAGCCAGTTAGAAACTACTGGCAAATTCCATCCCCTGACCCTGCTCCTCTCGCCTCCTTCCTTTTTAGTGGCCTGGTTCACATTTGACCCCAACTCTGGGCATCGGGACATCATTTTATCCAACGACAACCAGACAGCCACCTGCAGCAGCTATGATGACCGGGTGGTGCTGGGCACAGCTGCGTTCTCCAAGGGTGTGCACTACTGGGAGCTGCACGTGGACCGGTACGACAACCACCCAGACCCCGCCTTCGGGGTGGCCAGGGCCAGCGTGGTCAAGGACATGATGCTGGGCAAGGATGACAAGGCCTGGGCCATGTATGTGGACAACAACCGCAGCTGGTTCATGCACTGCAACTCCCACACCAACAGGTGCGATTGGGCCCCATCCTGCCTCCCGTGGACACAGGTTGTTTGGGAATGAGGGTCCTGAAGACCAGTGTCCCTTCTGCTGTCCCCAAAGCCAGCAGGAATTGGGAGGAGGTATTTTCAGCCACTTTGATCTCCATTTTCTAGGAAGCTTTGACTCTGCCCACATAGAACTGGCCTGCAGCCCAGATGAGGGTATGTTATGGTGTTTTGCACAGCACCCGCACAGATGGGTCTCCAAAGTTACCCAGCAGGCCACACGGTGGTCCTCTGCTGGGATATGGAGCTCGTAGTTTTCTTTCTGGTCCAGCTTCACTTTCCTTTGCAACTGTCAACCCAAGCTTGAGTCACTGCAAGGCGTTAATGGGCACCACTGGGGTTGATGTCCTCACAGCTGTGACCAGGTCATTGCCACTAACTTGCCTGCAATGATCCTGGCCACTGCCCTGGTCTCATGTGGGCTTGAGCCTCAGCAGGGCCAGGCCCTCGACAGGGCAGTAGCAGAGGGCATGGCTGGGGTGCTCACTACTAAAACGAGTCTGCCAAGGGTGCCTACAGCTGTGGCTTTGCCCTGAGACTGGCCCTGGGAGTAGGGTCGCCAGTGTGGACACAGGAGACTCAGGTCCTGGCCTGTGTCACTACTGGGGCCTCTGTTAGGAGGGCAGAAGGGGATGGGTCCTCCAGGACTGCCCCCGAGGCCTGGTCTGCTCCAGGGTGCCTTGGTCTCTCCACTCAGACACAGAGAAGGCAGTGCCCCCACCCCCCCGACACACCTGCACCATAGCCCTGTACTCTTTCTCCTCTCCCAGGGATTTTGTGCTCACAACTGGCCGGCATGTGGGGATGGATGTGGGGGTGAAGAATCCCCAAGGCCAGAAATGGAGAATTGCAAGTTGCGGACACCTGGCGCCACCTCCTTGCTATGGAGCCTTGCTCCTGGTCTGCTAAGGGCCATCTCCCCAGCAGGAAGGGGTGAGGAACTTCAAGGAGCTGAGCTTGACTTCGCTGGCCCCAGTCCCAGGCAAAATTGACCCGGAGGCTCTCAGTGCTCTGGGCCCACCTGCAGCTCCTATAACAGCCCCTAGGGCACCTTCCCGCAGAGGAAGGACCAGCTTCTTCTTTCTCAGGGAAGCCAGGTCTAATCTGGGCCAAGGACTTGCCCGAGGGCCCTCAGGACCCTGTCTGCCTGCCTCTTTGCTGGTAGGCAGGGCCCCTTCTCTCCTGAGTCCTGGGGAAGAGGCGGGCAGCTCTGCGCCTCTGCCCAGACCCTGCAAGCTGGCCATTCTCCCTCCTACCCACAGAGGGGCCAAGTCCAGGCCCATCAGCTCCGGCTCTGCTTGCTTAAGCCAAACTGGCACCCAGATACCCTGTTTGCTGGCAGGAGTAGTAACAAGAAGCATTTGTCAAGCCCTTACTTGTGCTCAGTGCTGTAGGAAGCACTCAATGTATCTTGAGCTCATTTAATCCTTGCAAAAGTGCCATTATTGTTGCCATTTTACATATTATAAAAGTGGGGCTTAGACTGGAATGGTGGCTCACACCTGTAATCCCAGCACTTAAGGAGGCCGAGGCAGAAGGATTGCTTGAGCCCAGGAGTTTGAGACCAGCCTGGGCAACTTAGTGAGACCCTGTCTCTATAAATAATAGTAATTTTAAAAATTAGCCAGGCATGGTGCTGTGTACCTGTAGTCCCAGCTACTTGGGAGGCCGAGGCAGCAGGATCACTTGAGTCCTGGAGTTCAAGACTAGCGTGGGCAACATAGTGAGACCCTCCTCTCTACAAAATAAATAAATAAATTAAAAGCCTGGGCTTAGGAAGGTCGGACAATGGCTCAGGCCATGCGGCCAGTTGACACACACAGGGTTGAGCCCAGGACCCCAGCCTCGGTTTGTGTGGTGCGGACTCCCCAGCCCTCCCGGCCATTGGCCACCACACTCCTCCCAAGGGCTGCCGAGCACTTCTTGGGCCTTTGCTGTCCTTGACGGCCCCTTGGTGCCACCTCAGTAAGAAAAACAGAAGGGAAGTGGGGCCATGAGAAGGTAGAGAGAATCTGCCCCTTTCTGCATGTCCTCCCACCCTGGGATGTGGATCGGGTAGGGTAAGCGCTCTCTGGGAGGAAGTCGAGGCAGCCGGGAAGTTGGACCCCAGAGCTAACTGGGCCTGAGGCTTTGCTTAGGTCGGACTCATTTCTGCACCTCCCGTGGGTCACTACCGCCACCCGGTGGTCAGTATCCAAATAGCACCAACAGTGCGGTTTTAGTTCCCTTCTCCCACCTGCCGGGGCACCCTCGGGGAAGCCCTGCCGTCTCCGGAAACACTTGTCTGGGCCGGGCCGCTCACCAAGTCCTCCTTGGGACTCCCTGTCGTGAATCCTTCTCGCTGCTCACCTTCCCTCTACTCTACCAGCAGCGTCCAGCAGATCAACTCATTCTCAATCTGGAAGGACAGACAAGGTTTTCTTAGCAGAGTGGCGTTGCTGAGATTAAGGCTAAAACCTCAGCCCTGAGCGGGCGCGGTGGCTCAAACCTGTAGTCTCAGCTACTCAGGAGGCTGAGGCAGGAGGATCCCTTGAGCCCAGGAGTCCAAGACCAGCCTGGGCAACATAGTGAGGCCCTCGTCTCTATAAAATATTTTTAAAATTAGCTGGGCACGGTGTGTGCCTGTAGTCCCAGCTATTCGGGAGGCTTGTGGGAGGATCCGTTGAGCCCAGGAGTTTCAGGCAACAGTGAGCCATGATTACACCACTGCACTTCAGCCTGGGCCACAGGGAGAGACATCCACTCAAAAACGAAGACCACCTCAGGGAAGGGAAGGAGAGTCTGCAGGATTCGGCCCATGGGAGAAGACGTGGTCAGCCAAGCCCCTCTTGGGAGCATGTTCCTTACTTTTATTAATAGATTCGCTTCCACCAGGTGGATGTGAATTCTTACCACCTACGAAGTACGACATTGCCAACGCTGATCAAGAGCAGAATGGACGTTCTCAAGGTTCCGCTATTGGTCACCTGTGGGATGGTGACTCCAAAAGAGGACTTGATTTCAACTTCAGCACCCTTCTCCCTGCCATACACTGCTTTTCGAGGGACCCTAGGATGTTTCTGGGAAGATAAGCCAATGTAGGGTAGGGGCCTTTCAAAATTTCCTGAAGGCCTGGATGTCCACATCTTCATCGACCTCAGCATCCTCACTTGCCTAAAACAGAAAAGGGCACCAAGTCAGTTACTTTCTTTGTCAGGAAAAGGTGCCTTTCTTACCCACTCTGCATGCTCCACAGTTTCAAATGGGACCTACTCATCAGAACCCGATTTTTCTAGTATGCAGATCCCAGATGCTCTCAGGAAGAGGGGGCTGAACAGCCTGGTTCCTATAGGGGAGTCTTCATCATGGCCTGTTAACAAGGTGTGTCCACTGTGAGAGAAGGCTCATATGCCAGGAGAGCACCCCACCACCACCTTGGGGGCCATGTTTAAGTGAGGGTGTTCCCAGCATCCTATAAATAATTTTCCTGCCCGGGTATGGTGGCTCATGCCTATAATCCCAGCACTTTGGGAGCCCAAAGTGGGAAGATCACTTGAGCCTAGGAGTTCAAGACCAGCCTGGGTAACATAGTGAGACCCCTATCTCTACAAAAAACACAAACAAAATTAGCTGGGTCTCATGTCATGCACCTGTAGTCTGAGCTACTCGGGAGGCTGAGGTGGGAGGATCTCTTGAGCCTGGGAGGGCGAGGCTGTTGTGCACCGAGATGGCATCACTGCACTCCAGCCTGGGTGACAGAGTGAGACCGTGTCTCAAAATAAATAAATAATTCTCCTGAGTTAATCTCCTACATCCCAGGCTGGGTGTGGTGATGGTCTTCCTGGGGACTCTCTTCCCAGGACGGAAGGCGGCGTGTGCAAGGGGGCCACCGTGGGCGTGCTGCTGGACCTGAATAAGCACACCCTCACTTTCTTCATCAACGGGCAGCAGCAGGGCCCCACAGCCTTCAGCCACGTGGACGGGGTCTTCATGCCAGCCCTCAGCCTCAACCGCAATGTGCAGGTACACGCCTCCCCCAGGCCGGACCTGGTCTGGCTGCTCCCCACTGTTTGTCCATAAGTCTTTGCAGTGCCCATGGGCAGAGTGGGCCATAAAGAAGCTGACCACAGAGACTTCCCAGACAGAGCTTATTGAGTGGACTGCCTTGGACATTTCCTAGAGGCGTTCCGTTCTAACTTGTTCACTTGGGACACCCAGGGGCCCTAAGGTGGCAGCTTCTGGAGACGCAGACCTCATGGCTGAGCCCAGTCCCTGGGGAGTGCTGGTAGCTCAGGAGGCCTGAAACAGAGAGACAAGAATGAGAACCCAGGAGGGTGTGAGGAAGGGAGAAACACAAAGGTGCCATCCATCGTCTTAGTAGAGTCCTCCTCCACTTGGGATGAAGAGCTGGAGTGTGGGGAGGCAGGGTCCTGTTCTGTGGCCCTGAATATTGAGGAGTCTACACCAATCACTGATTGATCGATTTGATCTTCTACTCATTTGCAAAAGGGATTTGTGGCAACCTAAAAGATAGGCTTGGCTGGGCATGGTGGCTCACGCCTGTAACCCCAGTACTTTGGGAGGCCGAGGCAGGCAGATTATGAGGTCAGGAGATCGAGACCATCCTGGCTAATATGGTGAAACCCTGTCTCTACCAAAAAAAAAAAAAAAAAAAAAAAATAGCCGGGTGTGGTGGCAGGTGCCTGTAGTCCCAGCTACTCAGGAGGCTGAGGCAGAAGAATCACCTCACCCCAGGAGGTGAAGCTTGCAGTGAGCCGAGATCGTGCCACTGCACTCCAGCCTGGGTGACAGAGCAAGACTCTGTCTCAAAAAAAATAAAATAAAATAAAAGATAGCCTTGGCCAGGCATGGTGGTTCACGCCTGTAACCCCAGTACTTTTGGGAGGCCATGGCAGGAGAATCGCTTGAGCCCAGAAGTTTGACACTAGCCTGGGGAACTAGCAAGACTCCATCTCTACCAATGAACAAATAAGCTTTTTTTAATCAAAAAAATAAAAGGTTGGCTATTATTCCTCACAGTTAATAGAATGGGATTAGTAGGAAAGGAAAGAAGGTCGTGGCTAGAAAGTAGACACAAATATGTAACCACGGGAGCCAGTGCATGAGAGCCGTGCTCCTGGGACAGCATCTACTTTGCCCGGCTCTGGCAGCTCTGGCAAAATGAGGAACCAGTCAGCTGGGTGATTCTTATTATGAGGAAAGAGGTGCAAACCAACATAGCCTTTGATTAGGGATATTGAGTGACATAATATTCACCAGTCTACAGCAGCCCTAAGCTGTTGCATGGATGGCCCTGGAGCCAGCAGGGGATCCTGCCGGTGTCTGCGGTGCCTTTGGAGCACTCAGGGCCCCTGCAGCAGCCTCTCCCACCCTCACTTCCCCTGTCTTCTTTTCCAGGTCACCCTGCACACAGGATTGGAAGTGCCGACTAACCTGGGGCGGCCAAAGCTGTCAGGCAATTAGCTCCGCTCCAGCTTGGCACTGCGCCTGTGACACTGACATTCACAGGCAAAATGCCCACCATTCTCACTAAGCTCAAATAACCCACAAAAGCAGGATATGCAAGTCATGGGTACAACCTGGCAGCGTGGAATGTCATAGAAACATTTTCTTGGGGGCACAGGGAATGGGTCCACGGGCCATGCTCACAGCTGCCACTGTCAGTGGCAAAGGCGGGTACGTGTGTCACCCTTATTCCACCCAGACGTTACGAACGCTCCCCAAGAAGGACCTTTCTCAAGGGAGTCAGCATTCGGGCTTCATGTCTGTGTTTCCTGCCAGCTGTATTCAAAGCTTGTCTTTTTTTGGAGGGAGAGGAAGGTAGACTTTGAGACTGGCCTCCTGAGAGTGGCAGTCAGGAGCTGCGCTGTAATCCCACACCCCGGATGTTGGCCCTCTGCGGGGACCCTGCCTCCTCAGAGTCCCAAGACTGCAGATTCTCATCATGCTGAGAAAGTTATCTTCTAGCTTCTTGGTCCTAGAGTCTTTAGTAGTGCCTGCCACTTGCAGACCCAATGCAGGATTGATAGAAAGGGATATTAATCATTCTTGCTAGACTTTTGCCTCTCTCACTGAAGTGTTGAGAACCTTTTAAAATGGCTTCCTTTATTAGTCAGCCAATTGTGTTCTCTCTCTCTCTTTTCCTCCCTCCTTCATTTCTTCTCCCTCCCTCCTTCTCTCTCTCTCTTTTCTTCTCTCTCTCCTTCCCTCCCTCCTTCAATCTCTTTCTTCCTTTCCTCCTCCTCTCTCTTACTTTCCTCCATCCCTGCCTCTCTTTCTTCCATCTTTCCCTCTCTTTCCCTCCCTCCTTCTCTCTCTCTGTCTCTCACATACACACACACATCCCCCCACACACACACATACAACAGTCTTCTAAAATTAATTCACTCAGTTCTTAGTTCTTAAATCCACGTGAAAACACAAGAATTTTAACAACTATGTCAGACGTCTTCACCTGGTGGTGGCTCCTTTCTGAAACTGGCAACCCAAGAAGTTAACTGAAAACACATCCAGATTGCTCTTCTGAGCAGAACCACTCTCAGACTCATAAGCATTTAAGATGGCAGACCCTGGAAAAGCCTCTTCTAGTCAGTCCACCCTATTGTCGTTATGAAAGCATCATGACACAAGTGGCCCCTGTGGCAGGCAGGGACGGCTCTGCCCTGATGCGGTGGGCGGGATCTCTGGGGAAGGCAGAAAATAGAAGAGCAATATCAGGTACCTTGTCTCCCAGCTTCCCACTGTGAGACTGGGTGTGCCGAGTCTGACCTGCCAGGGCGGGACTCCGGAAACACCAGGCTTCTCCCTTGAGATCCACATTGAGTCATCCACACCTCTCAGAGACAGCTCACGACAGGGGTTCTGAGGCTGCCGGGCTCTTGTTCCCAGGGAACCCTTCCTCTCCTCCCTCCTCTCATCTTCCCAGTCACCTGCCACCTCCAGCTCTACCTGGTAGTAATATTTCTCTCTCCTTTTAAAAAGAATATATTTTGTCAAGCATTTTATTTCTGAGGCTGAGAAGTGACTTGTCAATTTGCTGGACTGGATTTTTATAAAAACTCGCCCCGTACACCGGCACCGACTGTGCGTCCTTGGTTCTGCCTTCCTGTTCAGATACCGCGCCTGCTTTCTGAGTAACCGCCTGCCAGAGCCATGCAGGTCCCCCGCCTCCACTCAGCAGGCCCGACAATCCTACCTCAAAGCTCACGCTCTTGGTCTGCAAGGCCGCCTGGTCCGCTGTCTCTGCGATGTGGCCGGCAAGGCCAGCTGCCCCGTCTGCAGGAGCTGCTTGGTGCTGTGTTGCAGCCTCTGCTGCAGAGCCTGGGAGCCATCTGCTTCGTGGAAGTCTAGGTCTTGCCTCTTCCTTGTCATCTCACCAAGCAGTTTCTGGATCTCCTCCCATCCCAGAGCCCCATCCAGAGCCCTTGGAGGTAACATACAAGACCTAGGACCCTGTGTGCTTGCCCACACCGCTGCCTCTGTCTCCCATATCCCTGCAGCTTCATCCTTAGCCATAGCCCTGGGTGGCCATGGCTTGGAGCATGGAGAAGATCCCTAAAGATTGAGGATGAAGAGCAGTCACCACTTTCCTAGGGCTGAGGAAGCTATCAGCTTTGGGAAGTGTCTAGCTGCCTTCTGAAAAAAACAGACCTACACCCTGCCCCCAGAATGAGAGTGGGCTACGCAGGGCTGCCTGGTGACAGCGGCTTCTCACAGGGGAGTCCCGGGGAAGGCTGTGGAGCCTCCACCGTCACCACAGCCCGGGTCACCAGGGGACCCCAGCTCTGCAGAGGAATCGCCCATCACTGGAGCACAAGCTGCCTGGAGCTACCCTGAACCTAACTCCTTTGAAGGAGCAGCATCCAGGTCAGGAGAGAAGTGGAAAGTGCAGGAGGGAAATGCCCACAAATCTGGTGGCCTCTTTCAGAAAAAAATTCCCTGAAGTCTAGAGAGGTGCAGCAAGGACTCCCTCCTCCCGACTGCTGCCCTGAGCGTGGGGGCTGAGAACCTCCCTTTTCTGACTCCTCCAGGAGCCCAGAAGCAGTACGGCCGATGCCAGGGACGGCATCCAGCTCTCCTTCACAGACGCCTCTCCCGTCTTCAGCACAAAACACCTTCAATGTTCTGACTTCAAAGAGAAGGGCAGGTCCGTGCCACACACTTGTGTTTTTGAGGGATCAGAAAAGTGAAGAAGGAACTTATCAACTCCTCATGGCCGGGAAGGTCCCGGGTTTTGGAGTAGAAATGACAGGTCATGGAATTCTCATCCACCATCGAATTCCATAACACGTTACATCATGGTGGCATATTTGTACATAGAAATGATATCAAGATGAGGCTTTAGTTGGGCTGGCTGGGGAGTAACTTGGTGTAAATCTATCAAGCAGTTTCAGTGAAAAAGGAATTCAAAGTAGTTTTAAAATGTCGAGTTCCATTGCATTGTAAATAGTGCCTCTGTAATGTGTTCTGCAGTTGTTCTTTGCTAGTGAGCAAGTGTGGTCAAAGTGTATGCCTTTTCCTTTTAAAATTAATCTCTTCCGAAAATATCCACTAGCACCTCACTGCATACATAGCATCCCAGCTCCTAATTCCAAGCAGGGGAAGGTATTTCCCCAAAGCCTGCTTTTCCCCTCTCTGTTCTCCTTGGGAAAACAATGATTCCAATTAAAGAGGACACCAGTAATACTGACCCACAAGGTAACTGACCTAAGCACTATAAAACTGTATATAGTTCCAGGCTGCATCTTCAGCCTGATATGTACTTTGTAGTTGCAACAGTGCCCTAGGTGCCCTATGGCCCACCAAGTTTGAGGAGGGTGGTGCTTTCCGGATTGAGCCTGGGCAGGCACTGTGGAGCTCACCAAGAGAGCTGGGGGCAGGCCCACCCTCCTCTTTGTGCCCTTTCTCTCCCTCTTGGTGCCCCTGCCTCCGCCCCACCACAGCACTCTCAGGAAAGGATCAGAATGCAGGATCTTTGTGTATTTCTTCCAGGGATATTTGCATTTAAGCCTTAATTCTCACTGCAAGCGAAAGGCTTGGTCCCCCTGGGAAGGCACATTTCAGCACCAGTGGGCAGGTGGTTCAGTGTCAAGGAGGCTGTTACTGGTCCCATGGCCACCTGCTGGCTGTGCGGTAGTGAGGGAGGGTCAGTCCTTAGGGGGACTCAACATATGAATGCTGAAGAACACTGTTGCACAGCCTGTGGGGTGGTGCCAGGGTTTCTCAACCTCTACTGACATTTTGCGGTCAGTTCTGTACACTGTAGGATGTTTAGCAACATCCCTGGTCTGTACCCATCATCTGCCAGTAGCAACCCCCAAGTTAGGTGTGACAACCAAAAGTATCTGTAGACATTGCTAGATATCTCCTGGGGGCCTCCATAAGTTGAGAACCACCAGGTTATGCTAGTGGTTTGTCATGCGTGGATCTGCAGAGGGACTGTGGCTTTCCGGCTGCATTGTTCCATAGAAAGCCTGTATGTGACAAAGCTTCCAGCCTTTATCTTGATACCCAAGCCCAGGATTTTCCATGGGTCTTCAGGGGGCAGGTAGGGGGAAATGGAGTGAGCCACCCCCAACAGATGCCAACCTGTTGGGTCTTGAATTTTTACTCACTGAAGATGCCCCCAGCCCGCTCCCCCTTTCCTAGAAAGCAAAACTTGTTACCTTTGTTTTCCTTGGCCACGTTTTACTGGAAGCAACAGGAACTTCTTAATGGGTTTGTGGCCCTCAATTGGTTTTTTAAAAAATCTAACAGATGTTATTGGCAAATATTCAAGATGGTGATGCTGGAAAATTTCAGGACTTTTCTTTTGCAAGTGAGCCGGTAGCTGTGTTTGTTGACCGCATTCTTGGCAGTTCCTCCCGGAAGATCAAAGGATCCTGCAGCTTTAACTGTATCTGGGCTGTAAAAATATGAGGGCAGGTTTCGGGTAGGATGTATTGATCAGACACCAAGTTCAGCCCTCAGTTACTTCCCTCTCTTAACCTGGCGTGAATAGTGATTCATGGTATGGGTGGGGGCCAGTCTCTTATCCTTTCTGTGCCTCAGTATCCCCGCCTGAAATGGGACTAGTCATACTAACCTACCTCCTCTGATGTATTGTGAGGATTATAGAATAACATTTTTAAAGAAAAAAAGTGCAGTCTTTCACCTCTGGCATCTCAGCTAATGAGTCCCATTCAGTGAATCAAACCTGTCAGGGGGTAGATTCCAGTGTTCTCTGACCAGTGTCTTCCATCCAAGCCTCCTTGTGACCAGGGCAAGGAGCTGCCTGGCCTCCAGCGTGAAAAATAGACCTTTAAGACAGATTTCCTATGACCACAGAAAGTAACACCCCATATGTTTCCGTTCCCAGCGAGGCCTGTTTGAACAGTGCTCTGTGTGTGCTGTGAACAGGCTGCCTGTCAGCAGTCTCACTGCTAGGCTTCAAGGCCTCTGCGTGCAGAAGCCCCTTTAAACCAAGGAAGGACACTAACCCAGGCCTCTGCCTTCTTTGTTACCTAAGTTCTGGTATCTAAGGGGTCTCTTAACTCATAGCTTGTCTCCTTTGTTTCGAGGGGTCTCTGCAGTGTGAGTGGGTTTGAAATCCAGCATGGATAGTGGGAAGAGATGCAACTGAGCCGAAGTTTTGAAGGCTGGTTGGGCTAGTGGGTCATCGTGTCACTTTCAGATGACTGATGACCACTGAGCCTTCACCAGCACGAGCTATGCAGGTTGGGGGAGGCCCTGGCTTTTTCAATGATTGATGTTGACATGAGTCAGGAGCTGGGAGTTGAGATCTCCAAGGAAGTCTCGTCCGGAGCCATCGCTCTTCTCTCAAAGAGCACAGTCCTGGGGAAGGCCTAGGGACTTGTGGGCCAGTGATGCAGGCACTGCAGACCAGCCAGGCCCTCGGGTAAGGCTCTGAGGAGAGGCCAAACCCAGGCTTCAGGTTCGGGAAGGTGACCGCTTGCAACTGCGGTAGCAGGAACGTGTCAGGTGCTTACTGGGTGAGACCCAGCCCGGGAAGCCTCTCCAACTCCTCCTAGCCCTGGAAACCGGACATCCAGAGCCCCAGGCTTTCTTGGCACCCAGAGGAAGCAGGGAGAGGGCAAAGCAGCAAATGTTCAATGCATGATGTAGGATTGCTGCTTTGACACTAAGCTGTTGTATTAAGCATGAGAGGTGTTTGTTTAACGTTGGCAAAGGGATTTAACAAGAAACAAAAAACGTCGTGTCCTTGTTTTGACTGTCGACAGAACTCCCATTTTCTTGCCTTTCTTTATCCCCATTTCTCCTCCTCCCTCCCCCTCCCCCATCGCACCCACTTTCGGTCACTCGTTGTTGGTATTTGGTGGCAGCTCTTGGTCCTGTTGCTGTGGATGTTCCACTGAAAACACGGGGGGTAGGGGGCAGTGGTAAGGAAAGCAACTTTTTTCTAATTTTTGTATTGGTATCCACAAGCGTTTGTATTTTTTGAATTGCAAACACTGTGTTTTCTGGTCTTTGGGGGTTGGTTGAACTTTCTGTATTACCTTTTGGAAAACCTGAGTTTTACCACAGTCTTAAGCAGATTTGAAATAAATTCTTTTGACACTGCCAAAAACAGAGGGACAAGGTGTGGTCTGTAATTCCTGCTCCGAAGTCAGGTCTGCCTTTTTCCAGACTGGCCCTGACTGCCCACCAGACAGGGCAGAGGCTACAGGAGGAGAGGCCACACGGTCTCTTCCCGTAGTGGGGCTGGGGGTTACTAAGTAGCAGGGTCAACGTGGTTCTGCTTCGCGTGCCCAGGAAATCTCAGGGTGATTACACATGACTCTAAACTAGGCTGGGTGCTGTGGCTCAAGCCTGGAATCCCAGAACTTTGGGAAGCCAAGGCGGGCAATCACTTGAGGCCAGGAGTTTGAGACCAGCCTGGGCAACATGGTGAAACCCCATCTCTACCAAAAATACAAAAATTAGCTGGGCGTGGTGGTGCACCTGTAGTCCCAGCTACTCAGGAGACTGAGGTGGGAGGATCACTGGAGCCCAGGAAGTCAAGACTGCAGTGAGCCATGATTGTGCCACTGCACTCCAGCCTGGGTGACAGAGCAAGACCCTGTGTGAAAAATAAAAAATAGCCACGCAGGGTGGCTCACGCCTGTCATCTCAGCACTTTGGGAGGCTGAGGTGGGTGGATCACCTGAGGTCAGGAGTTTGAGACCAGCCTGACCAACGTGGTGAAACCCTATCTCTACTAAAACGATACAAAAATTAGCTGGGTGTGGTGGCACACGCCTTGTAATCCCAGCTACTCGGGAGGCTGAGGCAGGAGAATTGCTTGAATCTGGGAGGCGGAGGTTGCAGTGAGTCAAAATCGTGCCATTGCACTCCAGCCTCAGCAACAAGAGTGAAACTCCCTCTCCAAAAATATAAAAAATAAAAAATAAAATAAAATAAAAAAATAAAAATAAACCAGAAGGCCCCACCACAAACAGTGGGAAGGTCATAAAATTCATTTTTTCAAGAGGGAACAGGGCTGGAGATACATAACAGTTACCATGCGGTTAAGGTCCATTCATGAGTGCAAAGTAGATCACGGGTTCCGCGCAGAGATCTGCGGAAAACATCCCAGCGAACCGGTGAGCATCGGGGAGACTCACCTGCCCCTTCAGCTACACACGCCGAGGCCAGACATGCCTGACCTGAACTCTGTGCTTTGCTGCTTTCTCACCTCATGATCCTCAAGAGCAGCCGTCTCACATGGCCCCTGACAGCCCCTAAGACCAGTTACCTGTGGGAAAACCGAATGGGCTCAGCTGAGTAGGAGGCAGATGCAGAGATTAGAGAGCCAATGTTTCTCAGGGCAAGCTCTTGGGATCAACCCTCATGGAGGCCCAGGGAAGGAAGCAGGATTGGATGGAGGGAGATATGGAGCTATGCGAAACCCACAAAGGCCTCAGCTAACTCCACTCTGGAGTTGTCCTGACTTGGGATGAGAGGACTGGACTTTAACACCCTCCCATGGATCATTCATCGACTGTGGGTTCCCCTGGCAAGAGGATGAGGCAGTCCCTGCAGAGGGCGGGCAGCTGAGGCCTGTTTTCCCTAACCACTCTCAGCAGCTGAGGGAATAAGTCCTTCACCCATGAAAGGGAATCTAGTGGGACATTACAGTGCCCACCACAACCCAACACAGTGCCAGGTCTGTGTTTCAGACAGTGTGGGGAGAAGCCCTTCCAGAATTCCACTGACCCATGCTTTTAAGAGGGAGCTGAGCGTGGTGGCTCACACCTGGGCACGGTGACTCACACTTGTAATCTCAGCATTTTGGGAGGCCAAGGCGGGAGGACTGCTGGAGGCCAGGAGTTTGAGATCGGCCTGGGTAATACAGCAAGGCCCTGTCTCAACTAAAAAATTAAAAAATTAGCCAGGCATGGTGGTGGTTCATGCCTGTAGTCCCAGCTACTCAGGAGGTTGAGGTGGGAGGATTGCTTGAGCCCAGGATGTCGAGGCTGCCGTAAACTGCCATCACACCACTGTATTCCAGCCTGGGTGACACAGCAAGACTCTATCTCTGAAAAAAAAAAAAAAAGGAAAGTCAGTGGAACCAACTACGTTCCCTGTCACTGTCACTGGCCTCAGAGCTGCAACTGCACTATCTGCCTCCTGTCCAAGAGATTCCAGATTCACCCTTGGTGAGTGTCTCTGCTGACCTTGGTAGCTTATCTGCTGGTGTGATCCAGACACTCATCCCTGGGGGGGTCTAAGCCTTAGGTCATGGGGCCCCTCTCACTTCAGGATTGCTGCGCTTGTCTGGTTACTATCAAAATCGGATAAGGTCAGTGTCCAGAGATGCCTGAGTGGATGACAAGGATGCAGACAGGCTCCTCCTGGCCTCTCTGTGCGACAGCAGCCTTGCTTCCCCTGGAGAGTCCTGGTCAGTCAGCCCTGCAAGGTGCTGGCTCTTCCTGCCCAGACAACAACCACAGCTAATGATTCAGTGGAATGCCGTGTGCCCTGCTCCCCTCTTTGGGAAACAGCGTCTCTAAGTCCACAGAACCAAGAATTGTGGGAACAGGAATCCCAAGTTCCCCAAGTGGGTCCTTGGGAGTCAGTCATTTCATGGGGACACAGCACCTTCTAAGTGTCATGGCTGTGCTTAGGGTGATTTAAGCCATAAACTGCATTCTGGCAGATGCCACCTCCTCCTCACAGGCGCCTCTGAGATGGCACCTCAGCTGCACCTGCACCCGGCCTCCCCCTCATTCCACCAGACCAGCAGTTTAGGATCATGGGCCCCGGAACACGCACCTGTCTTGCACCTCCTTAGCTGCCAAATAGGTCTCTTGGTTGGAAGCAGTGTTGTCCTGTGGAACCTGCTGCCAGGTGACAAGCAAACACTGTGTATGCCCTTAGGCTACTGGAGCTAGTCGGGCCCTGTGGGCAGGAAAAGAAAAGCTTTGACAGGAATAGGTGTTTCTATTCATCTCAGGATGTCTGAGTCCTCCTGAGGACTGGAGCCGGAGCTTGAAGGATAGATAGGTTTGGAACATAGAATGTTCACACCTGATGCCAAGTGACCCTGTGGCCAGAAGTTCCATCATGGGCCTGGTCCTGTCAGACCTGCTGTTGTACAAAGTTGGGTGGACCCTGAGGTCATCCATCGGAGAGAAGGGGAGCAGTCATCCTAGCTGAGAAAATCCAGCAAATGATAACAGCACAATTGCAATGTTGGGAGCAGCCAGGCCACCAGCTGGTGGGCGAAGTGGGTGGGCAGTGCTGGGAGGGTGTAAGAGGTGGTGATATGGAGTGGAACTTTGCTTTTTTTCCCCTTAGGCTGATAACAGTCTAATGCTTCCTTTCACCATCGGTCCAAACGAGGCAATAAACGATTAAGGTAAGAGTTTCCACGGTTACTGTAATGATGCTTTTCTACTTTGTCAGCAGAGGAATCGGGCTCTGTAGCCAACTCCTGGCAAATTCAGCTCGTTCTAAGACTGAAGTTCTGGAGGCATCCCCGTCCAGCCCCTTCACCTCACGCAATCCTGGCCAGCCACCGTGCTAATGTAATGTGCCCCACAGAGCACGTTGAACTGAGCCATGCAGATGCATGTATGGCTGGGAAGCAACCCCACCCAGGGGAAAATGATAGCATAAAGGAGGCAGAGAGTGCATGTTTGCCCTGGACGCTGAGACCCTGATCCCTTCCCTGGCTGGCTACTGCAAGAATCTTGGTCATGGCCCTGTCTTCCTTTGGATGCCCTTTTCATTGTCACTTTTCTCTGCTGCTAACCTTGCTAGGGGAAGCCTTACCAAATGGAAATAAGAGCATGGCCTGAAACTTGATCTTCAGTCCTTAAAATACAGGTATGGTTTATGCTGTTAGCCCCTAAACCTCTAAGTGTTTCCAGAGCACCCAGTGGTCAAAAACCTGTTCCTTAAATATTTACAGGTAAATTAAAAAGTAGCCAGACATGGTGGCTTGTGCCTGTAGTCCTAGCTACTCGGGAGGCTGAGGCAGGAGGATCGCTTGAGCCCAGGAATTCAAGTCGAGCCTGGGCAACATATTAAGACCATCTTGTCTCAAAAAAAAAAAAAAAATGTTTTAAGTAAAAATAAAAACAAGCTTAGTAATTTACACCTGGCTGGAATTTGTATGCTATTCCAAAATGGACTACCCTGGGACTGTAGTCCACAGTCAGGCCAAGTGCTCAGTTGTCTGAGCCACGATGGCTCATGAGAATTAGGTCTCCCTTTGTCTCCAACGCTGAAGATGAGCAGTTAAACTAATCTGGGAGCCATTCTCATGGGTCATTGCCAGCTCCTGAGATTTTTCCTAGTGTTTTCTGTCATGTTTGAGATCTTCTACACCTTTTTAAAATTACTTACAGCCAAAATATATATCCTAATGAATAATGCCTTTCAAAATAAACCTGGAAAACAAACCACTCATTCCAGTTTTGCTGGCATTGTTCCAAACATTCTGCAAGTTCCTCATTTGTCAGTGTCTTCAGAGACAACATAAAGTCACATAACAAAGTGAGCCATTTATACCTGATTTTTGGACCAAAACATTATCATTCACTAGGCTAGGATCAGAATTTTTTGGTAATTAAAGAAAAAAAAAAAAGGCCAGGCACAGTGGCTCACGCCTATAATCCCAGCACTTTGGGAGGCCGAGGCAGGAGGACAGCTTGAGCCCAGGAGTTTAAGACCAGCCTAAGCAATATGGCAAGATGCAGTCCCTACAAAACCTCTTTTTTTTTTTGAGACGGAGTCTCGCTGTTGCTCAGGCTGGAGTGCAGTGGCGTGATCTCGGCTCACTGCAAGCTCCGCCTCCCGGGTTCACGCCATTCTCCTGCCTCAGCCTCCCGAGTAGCTGGGACTATAGGCACCCGCCACCATGCCCGGCTAATTTTTTTGTATTTTTTAGTAGAGACGGGGTTTCACCATGTTAGCCAGGATGGTCTCGATCTCCTGACCTCATGATCTGCCAGCCTCGGCCTCCCAAAGTGCTGGGATTACAGGCATGAGCCACCAGGCCCGGCCTACAAAACATCTTTTAAATTAGCTGGGTGTGGTGACACATGCCTTTAGTACCAAGTACTCAGGAGGCTGAGGCAA